AAATGTGAACATAAGACGTTTTGATCCCTCTTTTGAAAAGTTATTTGCACCAAAATGTTTAATTAAAAAATTAAAAAGTAAACTTATTTAAGATTGCAAAAAGGTGAAAAATTTCAGGATGTTTTTTTTATGGGAACTTCATCTAGGAAATTTTGGAAATTTGTAAACATATAAGAAGTGTATTGGAATTAATGAAAAAAATGGAGAAATGCATGTCAGTGCATCATTGACATGCATGCAACTACTACAGGTTTAAAGACTGTGTTGGCAATGTCCTAGAAGAAACTCAAGAACCTTGGAAGAAAATAGCAAAAGAACTAATACTAAACACTTATATATGCAAAGCGCCGATAAACAAATTGTTACTGGCATATTTTGTTAACTTGTTTCGGTTTCCTTCTTGCTATTTGTTCTGGTGTCTTTGTCATTCCTTTTATGTATTATTAGTCAGCTATTTTCTCTACCCGTTCACGTTCCCTTATTTACGTTGTAAAGCGTTCTTGAGCACTGGAAAGGCACTATTAAAACAACCATATTATTATTTATTATTTAGGAATGATAGACATATTTTACAAAATAGCCCAGTCAGTGTGCTTTTTTAAACTATGACCTATTATATACAGTAATGTTCAACAGCTTAAACAAATTAAAATTGTTTAATGTTTTTGAAAAACAAAAGTCTCTTTTATACATATTATTAAAGCCAGCATTTATCTGGTTAAGAATGACAGAAAAAAACTGTAATATTGTGAAATACTTTTAAAAGTAATTATTTTATTGTAGTGCTTGGCAATGATTAATAATATCCAAAATAAAAGTTTATAAAAAAACATTTTACAATGAATTCTAAAAGATCATGAAACTAAAGAAGAGCGAATATGCAAAGAAATTCTGATGTGCCTTACAGAAACACATTGAATTTACACAAAAATAAATAAATAAATAAAAACATGTAATATTTGTGTTAGTTAGTTTTGTTAAATATCCATGATCAAATAAACTTAAAAAAAAAAAAAAAAAAAAAAAAAGGTATGCTTGAACAATCTTTTCATTTTATGTTAGCATCTTGCACTGTAATCTGGGGCTGCACGATATTTAAAAAAATCTGATATTGTGATATTTTATTTTCTATGCAATAAATATTGCGATATGAATACAGTTTCACAAGCACTATTTGACGTTTTTCTGGGGAGCCTAACAGTAGTCAGGTACAGAAAGTGAATAATCGTAATGCAAAAAATGCTGTTCTTAATTTGCTGTCTCTCGCTTCTAATCTAAATACCAAACAAGTAAAAATATCTTCCAGGGGGTAAGGAAGATAATCTTATTTTCACTTTCAAATGTAATTATTTGGACTAGAAATAAGATTTTTATAAGTAAGAAAAAAAATTATTTTTGCATAAATCTTATAAATTCCATTTAAATACAGTAACTAAATACAATTCTGTAACTATAATCCAAACTCAACATTGCATATCCTGCAATGTGATTCGATGGCTGTAACATAAATCGTCCAACCCTACAATGAAGGGTTCCACGTACTTGTTTCATGTTGTCTCCACACAAATTAAGTTAGCTTAATTTTTTTAATTTTTAAAATTTTTTTTTTTACAATTCAAATGTATTGAACATAAAACAATCAAGTTGTCTCCTTAAAAAAAAAACTCAAGAATTTTGTTGCTTCAGCTTATTTTAAATAAGTAGTTTGAAAAAGAATCAAAAATATTGGTTGGTTCAAATCAGGGAAAAAATATTGGTTGGTCAAATCAGGGAAAAAATATTGATTGGTCAAATCAGTGATGCACTGATCCCAATACTTGGATCGTCTATTGATTCGATATTGCATATTTTTGCTGGATCGGGTATTGGCTGGCCACTTCCAAACCTGATCTTGCGCATGCGCTACATTTTGTGTAATTTATAAGCCAACAAAAGCCATGCAACTTGCCTATTATAAGACACTAGAAAGTTGTTATGTAGGCCTACTATATCCTAAATGTTCTAAAGCAATTCCATAGTTTAATGTGAAGTACAGATGAATATTCATGTGCTTAAATTCATGTTCAGTTCAGTGCTTCCGGCCACCACACCAGTCAATCATTCTCCATTCATTCACAATTCAAACTGTGTGTTGCGTTCATGACAACACAAAAAACTTTCTCCAAGACTATTTGTTGCTGTTAATATGAATAATCAGAGAATAAATGCATTTAATTTTGCATTGTATGGCTTCATATTGACCTCCAGCAAGGAGTTCATTGCTGTTTCTAAATCATGTTGCGCTGTGTCTGTTAGATCAGCAGATCACATTCGCAACACTGAAGTACATAGCCAGCTCTTCAAACACTGTAGGCCTACCTGAAATTTTCAATTAGAAAAAGGCTTAATAATACATTGGCCAGATTCTCAACGCACATTTCTTCCCTTTGTGTTGTCAGTTTTGGAAGTGTCTGCAGTTACCGGAGGGCTGCGCGCTGTGTCTTAGTGAGGCATCAATCGCTTCATTCACGCACTGGCTGCGCTGACACAATGTGCACTCCTCCGTAAGATTATTCTCACAATGAGTTTCTGTTCTCTCATGCTTCCGACTGAGTTTATTCTTCCCAGGGGAATACTTTTAGTGCTGCGAATAGTTTGTAAAGCCTGGCTCATTGTGATCAAAAAAGTGAATTCAATTAATAAAAGTGAAACTGACAACGCAATATTGACTGTTATTAACAGAAAAGGGAATGTTTATTAAGTAAAACTGGCCTCAGACAGTTTAGTCTGCATCAAACCTGCAGGAAAATATCAAGCGTTGCTAAAAGGCTGATTATTTTACCATGCATTGGGGGTCTATAATGGTAGGCTATTACAGATTTCACAGAAAAATCTTAATATTAAAAGAGGAAACATCAGCTGGCCCACAACAGATCAATGTCATAACGAATTCTCAAATAATGTCCAGTACAGCAAGCATCATGATTTTAGTTAGATTCTGTCATCTGATCTGTCATTTAGGCCTATGAGTCTGTTATTTTTACTAAAGAAGATATATTATTTGAGTTTATCACCAGAACTATAGAAACTATATTAAGCTTTAAAAATATTTATAAAATGGCACAGTATCGGGATCAAATCTGTATCAGTCAATACTCAGAATTTTGGTATCGGAATCAGTTCCAAAAAATGGTATCGGTGCATCCCTAGTTCAGATGACAATGATCAGTGTTGCGTTCATATTCAAACTAAAAAGCACCTTTCACTTGGTCTTGTCTTTAGACATTTAATCTAACTGGACCATAGAATGTTTTAATCAAACTAAATTTACCAAGTGTCAACACACCCATAATTTCATTAAAATAACTTTATTTGTGTTTTGAAGATAAATAGATGTCTATTAGGTCTAAAAAGACAAGGCTGAATAAGGAAATAAGTAAGTCAGGCTGGCCAATATGCTTATTCAATCAGAAATAGCTGACGCCGCATAATCCTTTCTTCTTAATTTGAAGCAAAATATGGTCCAGACATGTTCTTGACAAGTTTCGTGAGATTCACCATTATACAAGACTTTGAACTAATGATAAACGACAAATATTAACTCTACAAAGGCTAATCGGTTCCTGCCACAAAAGGCAAGTTATTATTGAGGTATGTCAACAAAAACACATCACTTTGACAAATGTCTATGCGAACTTCAGCCTTTGATGTCCATTAAAAATTCTTTCTTGACAGCGGCCAAGCGAAAATGAGTGCAATAACGAAGACAAGCAAGTTAGCTGACCACTATAATCATAAAAATAATACAGTCTATCGGGGCCAACGCAAGACACTCTTACCCCGCAGGCCCACCGCTGATATTTGTATTCAATTGTATGATAAAAGAAATCAGATCACCATCAAATCTGCTTAACCACCCATATAAATCAAGAAGGACAACAGAATAAGCAAAGCCCAAGCCAAACATAGCTGGTGGTCCGATTAATCCCTCCTAACTGTGGTCAGTTCTTCTGCTCTTCTCTTTTCCTCCTCAATAAAGCACCAAACGATTCACAAAGTGATTATGTGCAATAGCATTACCCCAAACAATGAAATCAAATTAAGCAATCACTTTGGTTTAGGTCCATTCTCTCGAGCCACAAGTGGTCCTTAGACTGTCAGTATTTGCTGGATGCCATAAATACTGGATGCCATAAATACAGCTGGATGCCATAAATACAGATCCTGTCTGCTGTTAGGCTGTTTATGTGCTTCAGGAAACCAGATGGACATTAGTTTCTAAATGAATATCTTTGGCATCTTCGCCTCGCATAAGCCGTGGGAAAAACCATTTGCAGAGATATCTTGACAAGTTCAGCCATCACCAGACCATGGCATGTGACGGATACACCTAAGGCGAGCGAGATGCTGTGTGAGATATGATAAAGACGGAACAATGCGTCGTAAGATAACCCAAAAGCTCATGATATGTTCTATGAATACATCTTATGCGTGTGAACGGTGTTTTCTGAACATAGGGCACACGAAATGTGCATGAGATGTTCTATGAATAAACCTGGTGCACGTGAACTTTTTTATAAGGCGCTTAGATATTAAATACATGCTCTGCATCTTGTAGATCCTATAGATTTCGACCATATCATTTTATTTTAAAGAAATGCTTCATAAATGTACAATTAAGCACATCTCATGCGTCTTAATACGCTACAGTGAATGTACCCGAGATGTTTAATGAGTAGGAACCGGAATGACAAAGTCTCACATGATAATATCACGTCTTAATCACCACATGCATCTCTCTGGGAGTCTTGTATCCTCTCAAGTGCTATCAACGGTAATCTGACACTGACAGCTCGCGCTGCTGAATGTACCTTCTAGCCTGTTAGCACGTTAGCACTCAACCCCGGAACCGAGATATAAACAACCCCGATATCAACACATATATTATACCTAAAAACCCAAATATCAGTTTCACGTTTTAAAAAGAGTTCTTAAGGACCTATATCCAGCCGTTTACATACCTGGCAGGTCTACTAGCATCATAATACGCAGTTTTTCTCAAATTCTTTCGTACAGGATTCAATGGGATGCCGTCTGCCATCTTTGCTCGGATACGTTTGAACGTCGTCACATCCGGACTAAAGTGAAACGAATGCTGTATTTCATTTCAATAACTTGGTTATTCGTTAATTATTTTTATTTTCGGCTTGGTCCCTGTATTAATCTGGGGTCACCACAGCGGAATGAACCGCCAACTTATCCAGCATATGTTTTACACAGCGGATGCCCTACCAGCTGCAACCCATCACTGGGATACATTCGTTTATTTAAATGGTCTCTATATTGTTTACCATGCAAAATTGAATATTCAGTCAAAAATCACATTTTAGCATGACTTAAAAACAAAATGAGCATTATTTAATTGTGAACAGTGTTGTACATAGATAGCCATTGGCTTATGATTTCACTATTTAGAGTTTGCAAATAATATTCTGAAATAATAAGATGTCAGAATGTGCGAAGATAAAACTTAACCTCAGTTGCTCTTTCTAGGCTTGTACTTCCAAACGAAATCATTTAAACAATACCGTTTGACAACTTTTTATTAATAAATATATGTACAACATACACACAGAAATAGACTGAAGGCTGTACCTACAATAGTAATGACACAAAATACGTCGTTTAAGATTTATTTATTGAGGGTGGCAACAATATTGCATCATAGAAATAAATCCAGTTTAGTCAGTGTGTTTGAGAGACCACCTCAGTTGTTCCATGTAAAAATACTGATGTGCAGAGACAGAAAAGCAAACCCGGCGTACCTTTTTATTCGTTATAATGTATCTGAGTACAAAAATAGTGTCTCCCTTTCATGCAGAGAATACATCAAATACCCCTTCCTTATTTTACCAAATACCATTTGAAAAAAAAAATTCTTTTTCATAATTTTGTTTGTTTTTCCCAACACTAAACAATATATTATATAAGGAAAATAGCACTACAAAATAAAATATAATAAAATAATAATAATAAAAAAACACTAAAATTACCTGACATGACACGCTTAGTAAAAAAGACATAAGCTAGCATTACAGACAAGTACATAGTTTTATTTTATTCATTTTTTTCCCTTGTACTATAATGTTTCTGGAATAATATATCATTTTACTTGTATTTTGTTCTTGACAGGAAAACACACTTCTAAATTGTGAAATAGAAATGTTTCGCAACATGTCCGATCCATCACAAGGGTTTCCATTGTCAACTATAATTTAAACTGAATGTGTTTTAAATGCAAGACCTTTATTAGCACTCATATTATTCTTCTTAGTCTCATGTTGGCCCACTAATCAACTTCAGATGTTAAGGAAAATACACATCATGGGAATTAATAATATAATATCATAGGCTGGTGGAACGTTTCATTGTTAATGGCAGCTAAAATAATACTAGATTGTGGTGTTCTTGATTTGCATGAAAATAAATGGTTTGCATCCGATGCATAGCAGCACAGCAGTGGGATGTCAAAGAATAATACATCTCTTTAAAAAAACTCTGAAATGTCTCTTAATCTTCTGCTTGGGGATTTAAGTTACATACTTTCCTCTGTAGCTACGTTAAGACTACAGTGTGGGAATGAAAAAGTTTCTATTATACGGTTGCAATCAGAATTATTAAACCCCCTAAATTATTATCCCGTCGTTTATTTTTTTCCCCAATTTTTGTTTAACGGAGAGAAGATATTTTTCAACACATTTCTAATGATAATAGTTTTAATAACCCATGTCTAATAACTGATTTATTTTATCTTTGCCATGATGACAGTAAATATTTTACTAGATATTTTTCAAGATACTTCTATACAGCTTAAAGTGACATTTAAAAGCTTAACTAGGTTAATTAGGTTAACTAATCAGGTTAGGGTAATTAGGCAAGTTATTGTATATCGATAGTTTGTTCTGTAGTCTATCGAGAAAAAAAATATAGCTTAAAGGGGCTAATAATTTTGACCTTAAAATGATTTTTTTATAAAAACTGCTTTTATTCTAGCCGAAATAAAAACAAATAAGACTTTTTCCAGAAGAAAAAAAATTATCAGACACACTTTTAAAATGTCCTTGCTTTGTTAAACATCATTTAGAAAGTATAAAAAAAATCAAAGGGGGTTTAACAATTCTGATTGCAACTGTATATGCAAACATGTTCTCTTGAACAAAGCAATGTTTGACAACAAAATGAGAGAGTAAAAACAAATCAAATCAACATAAAATACACATTTACAACATAAAATAATCATTTCATATCAAAGCAATGCCCTTGTATCAAGTGTAAGTTTTCAGTCAGTTGACATAATTGAAAAACTAAACGTGGCCTCAGTTAAAATACAATAAAATAAAAATAAAAAAACAAGTGCCATATTTAAGATAAATCGTAAATTTCCCACATGAATCAAGCACATTCTAAGGAGTTTATTCTGATTTTTTTTATTAAAAAAAAAACAAGACACATTTATTTCCAATGTCCCTTATGGAAGGAAAAAGAATATGTCACCTTTACATTAATTGATCCCAATGTCTTTTTTATCATCGATCATCATGGAGAAGTGTTGTCCGGGTCCCCTTTCTAAGCCTGTTTTTTCCATGGCTGTGATTGGTGGGCTGTTTCCAGTGCTAGCCTTGTCCGTAGCCACAGTGATAGCAGGAAGCTGGGGCACTCCTCCACTCTGAATGACGGATATTTCATTGTTCCTCATTGCTAAGCCGTTTGTAATAGCTGCTGCGTATCGGCTCCAGAAGTTCTGATCCACATTCATGGCCCGTGCGGCTAAATCCTTCTGAAATGCTTCGCTGAATTTCAAGGCATCACCGCCCAGAAGGGCAATTGGGTTTTCCACAGACAGACGTCTACCTCTACGGGCAGGAGTGTTATTCCACATGTGAGTGCCCATATGCACCTGTAGACAAACACCCATGTTAAAAGGTTATTATTATTTTTGCTTGTTTGAAGCAGACATGTTTATATAGTTGTGATATATAATAATAAATAAAATAAATATTATTTTATAAATAATGTAAATAATAGAAATGACAGCTGTTGAGATGACCACATTTATTTATGTATGTATTTATCTTTACTTATTAATAGATTCAAGCCTTTAATTTGAAGGAAATATAGGAAGAGAGTGGCTACATGACCATAGAAGGATGTCAGAACCAATTCTAGAGAATATACAATACCCCAGTATTTTTATTGAATATGCAAACTGAATTTATGTTTAATTTATTTTTTTAATTTCATTTTTATTTTATTATATTTTATTTCACTATATTTATTTCATTTCTATTTTATTTATTTTAATTTCTATTTTATTTTATTTTACTATCTTTAGTTCATTTTTTATTTAATTTCTATTTTATTCTGTTTTTTTTTAATTTTATTTCATTTTTATTTTTTTAATGTGTGTGTGTGTGTGTGTGTGTGTGTGTGTGTGTGTGTGTGTGTGTGTGTGTGTGTGTGTGTGTGTGTGTGTGTGTGTGTGTGTGTGTTTATTTTACTATATTTAATATTTATTTCATTTTATTTCACTTCTATTTTATTATTTTTTTATTTTATTTCAGTTCATTTTTATTTTATTATATTTATTTTATTTTACTATATTTATTTCATTTCTATTTTATTTGACTATATTTTTTATTTAATTTTTTATTTTATTTATTTTATTTTAATTTGTATTTTATTTTAGTTTATTTAATTTTTATTTTATTATTTGTTATTTTATTTAACTATATTTATTTCATTTCTATTTTCTATTTTATTTTCTATTATATTTTATTTTATTTAATATTTTCTTTTATTTGCGCACACCTGACAATGACAGAATCAATAATAATTACGTACCTTAAGATTACCCTTGGTTGTGAATGCTCGACCACAGACAGAGCAGCCGAAGGGTTTTTCGCCAGTGTGTGTGCGCTCATGGATCTGCAAAGCACTGGCAGAAGAGAAGTTCTTTCCGCATGCGCTGCAGTTGTGTTGCTTAGGGGTCCGTCGTGGTGGAGGTGGTCCAGTGAGTGAGGTGACGCCCGGTATCATCACCTCAGAGCGTGAGGTGGGAGACTGCAGGCCAAATGCAGGGAAAGGACCTTCTTTTAGCATGTATGGTCTACTGCAAATGCTCATCTCCAGTTTCACTGCAGTTGGCAGATTTTTAGTATCCTGTTCAGTAGACCTTTGAACATTTTCTGAGAAAAATAAAAATCAGAATGAAAAACAATTGAACAGGAATTGCAATACAGTGAATTGAATATTAATTCATATTCAATTATCTACATTACAAATACAGATAAGATAGCAAATCTCTAAGATACAGATTTAAAATTGCGTTTTTAAATAAATAAAATATTATTGTTAATAAAATAAATTTTTTTAATAATGTTCTATGAACACTCCTTGTATATCCACGCTTAAACAAACAGACCAGTCCAGCCCAAGACTCAAACCATTAGTTGAGCTATTTTGCGGTGTCAGGCAATGTGTAGCACATCAGTGTTTACACACTTCAGGTGAACTGAATACGGCTTACTTACAGTTGTCTCTGCATATTTACTAATGATGGATGTTTCGAAAAATCACACACTTGACCTTTAAAGTAATTACAGTTACATTAAAAAAAAATAATGAACCTAAAAATGTTTTCCACAATCTGATTTTATTACTTCTTTTCTTTTCTATTACTTATTAATTGCACAACACATTGGCCAGCATAATTTCTATGACATTTGAAGCATAATAAAGAGTTAAAATATGTATTTCTGAGCAGAGGAAAATACTTATTGGTGTGTAATGTTCATTCTTAAATTAAGAAAAGCTTCTGTAGTAGCTTTTACATGGTTAATGTTGTGCTAAAAAGTGAAGCTTGTGCTTAGGCTGTGGGATTCTTGATGGCTATCTTACTGTATATGTCGCTTTGGTCAGTGAGCAATAACTGCTTATGCCAGGAGGGCTTTTCTTACTTCAGTATCCCATACATTAAACATAAAATAAATCATATTTAGTGTATTAAAGCACAAACTTATCAGACACACTGTTTTACGAACTAGAAAATGTGTGGAAAAGCTTTTTTTTAGTGCACAGTGATCTAGGGGTATCGTATAACAGGTTTAGCTTACCATGTTCCTTACTGAAACATTGCACGTTGAAAGGGTTTTCTTTCTTTACTGAAGACTTGATAGGCTGGATTCCTGTTTGATTAAGAGTCACCCCGTTGACTGCATTTGCTGCAGGACAGTCTGTTGATTCAGATTTTACTATAGCTGCTGCCTCTGGGGTTTTAGAAGAGAGGTTCAGAGAGACCGAATGCTCATGCTGTCCCTCAGGTTGACTGTTGGAATAGGTTGGAATGTGAATAGAGCTAGATGAATGTGGCATTAAACTATTTCCCATGCTGTGGTTTTCCATCTCACCAGTGGACGTATGAGGAGCATGAAGATCATTGTCCATAGGGTCGCACCTAACCATCTTTTTTCCATTTGATTGACTGAGATTGATGGATAAGTCGCCCCCTACATTCTGAGATTCTGAGATACTGGATGGAAGAGATGAGATAGGTGGTGGACTATCTGAAAAGGAGCTCAGGGTGTTTTCACTGTTCTCCACAACATCCCCTTCTTCTTCAAATGAAATATCATCAAGACAGTCGTCGTCATAAGTGCTCATGCTGTCAAAACTCTCCATATCTGTGTCTTTCTCGTAGATGGTTTCTGCCAGTGGTGTGTTTGGAATTTGCCCACCCATGTGCATGCGTATGTGCTGCTGTAATACAACAGCATTTGTAAACTTTTTCTGACAGATCGGGCATGAATGCTGAATCCGAAGAGGAGGCTTTGCACGGTGGACACCAAAATGAGTCTTCAAGTTACCTTTTGTTGTGAATGCTCTCCCACAAACCTTGCATTTAAATGGCCTCTCTCCTGTATGGATGCGGTAATGCATCTTCAGCGCACTCTGACAGCTTAGCACACGGTGGCAGATCACACACTGATTGGGCTCCATCATCTTTTTGTCAATGTTTTCCACAAGCTGTTGGAGCTTCGATGTCTCAGATGTTTGCATAGAATCCTGGAGACCACCAAATGGGAACTTGCTCCTGAACTGATCTGAGATGAGTGGTGGAGAGGACGGTTTAATAATGGCTGAAGGAACATCAGTGGACTCGGGTACATTCCCTTTTACAGGTGTTTCTGTCAACATGGACTGCGAAAGCAGGATGTTGGAATTGCTACCATTTCTGATTAAACTGTTTGACGGTAGGTGCACTTCCTCTGTATTGAAACTCTGTGTGATCTCTGCCTCTCTGTTTGATTTAGGGGAGGCTGCAATGGTTGACACATCTGTCTCAGTGCCAGTGGGATTTGGCGACGACGGTGCAAGTTCACCTCTTGCTGGTGATGGCCTGTGTGGAGACCTTTCTGAGGGTGTGCTTGTAAATGAATCACTTAGGCTTTCAATAATTGGTACTGTGGGAGGCAACTGCAGACCAACCGAAGACGGCACTGTTGGAAGGACAGGTTTGCTGTCTAACCAAGTAGGTCCAGCCTTCTCTGGGGGGAAAGACATCCCATAGGGGATCCCAGAGCTAGTGGGGATATTGTCAAGATATTCTGGGACTGGGTACGGGTTCATCTGAACATGAGGGTACTTCTCCTTGTGCCTTTGGAAGTGGACTTTGAGATTTCCTTTTGTTGAGAAACGGTTGCCACAAATGTTGCATTTGAATGGCCTCTCGCCTGTGTGCGAGCGCAAGTGTATCTGCAAGGCACTGTCGCTGCCGAACACTTTAGCGCAGAACCTACACTTGTGCTTAAAGAACGGATCCTCAGAACTAGGCTTGCTGTCAAATATGGAGACACTGGGCAGTTTGCCCTTGCGGTGCTTCATCATAGCAGCCAGTGGGTCTAGTGCACTGGCAGTGGCTGCAATACTGGCCAGTGGATTGGGAAATATGACTCCGTTGGGAGGGCTTTGAGGTAGTAATGGTAGGTTGGCAGAAGGGCTAAGGAGGCTACTCTGGCAAGCTGATAGTGGGCTGGGAGTGCTTACAGATTGGGTGTTACTAACATTAGAGAGGGATCCACTACAGGTGGGCAAGAGCGGAGAAGCCCCACTGTAGCTGAAGAGATGAGGGCTGGAACTTGTCAAGGAAGAAGTTGCACTGTCCAGTGCTCTAGAGCCAATTTGCCCAGTGCTTGGTTGGGAAGACAGCAATGATGGCCTCGCAAGCATAGATGCCTGGGATACAGAGGCCTGCCCATTCACTGTAGAGGGCATGACCCCAGATAATGGGAGTACAGGGGGTGGAGCGATGCCCTGGAAATTGTAAGTGTTAGAGTCAGAGGGTAGGCTTTTCGAGGCAGGATTAAGGGCGGCTTGCGTAGGCTGCCTATTCATTACAGCGACCTGGCTGCGGATCTGCTCAATGAGCTGTAATTGCTGAACCTGCTGTTGCTGCAGTGCCATCAACTGCTCCAAAATCATGGGTATCGCAGCAGAGTTCAGCTTTCCAGCAGATCCTGCACAGTGAATGCTCTGGGAAAACTGAGCAACAGCCACTCGAGTGCTGTGAAGAATCTCCAGGGTCACATTGGTGCTGGGCATGTCATAGTGATTGGTTATAGGTGGGGCGGGGGGCGAGGTGGCATTTTCATCGTCTAGTGGTAGAGGGCTGAGATTCGATGTTTTATGCTCAGGCAAACTTATATCCATTTGTTCGTCCAGGTCAATAATATGGGTTTCCTCAGGCATTTCGTCGACTTTCTCCGCAAGCTCGGAGTTGATTTCACTGGCCTCCATTTCTGCTGAGTCACTCTGGGCGCTAAAGAGGGACTCTGTCGGTGATCCCCGGGAAATGACCTTCTCTTCCTTCTCTTTTACTATGAGCACAGGGGGGTCTTCTGTGCACTTCTGCTGGTGCTCCAGCATCTCAGACCACTTGAAGAATTCAGCACAGCACCGCTCACACACGTGCGTCTCTTCGCCCCCACTGCGGCTCTCCGTGCCGCTGTCCTCCTCATCGCCTCCCCTCAACAGAAGTGCTAGGAGATAAAGACACAGAGAGAAAGCGTGTGAATAGAAATTTCTGAGATGATAGATTTTTCACAGCTATTCTTGGAGGAGTGAACAATATAGATAAACTAAATCAATTGTACCACTTTACCAATTACTGAAAGCCAGCCTCTTTGTGCTCATGCTCCAAAGACTCAGACGATAATTTTCTTTGCACAATCCATCAAATTATGCGACCTATCTATTGAATATACGGGAGCTTAATGAAATTCTATAGGGGATATTGATTTCCAATGTTTTTATACAATTCACAGCTGCACTGTCAGTTGAGGGCAAATTGAGTCTTTGATTGACTAATCTGAACTCTCCATTGCTATCAAACACTCTTATTTCCTGATGAATTTGAAGAACTAATTCCCCCCCACTTGACATTGTTGAGTGAAACAGTTATCTCTCATTGCTAAAGGTGTACAACCTTGACAAAATGCTTTCAGCTTTATAGATGTAAAATGCACAGTTAACTGCAGGGTGTTTCAAAACATCAATTTTATCATTTGAAATAAAAATGATCAAAACAATAAATAAAAAGAAAAACAATATGATTCACAAATCAAATTCACAGTATAACAATATTTAAATAAACCTGTTCAGCTCAAAACAAAGAGTACTGATCATGAAAGTCACAAAAACGATACCTGTCCTAAAATAATACAGCAGCATTTCATTAGATCCTTTTTTTCTGATATTTGCATTTAGATACATCGTACAATATAAAAGGCGTAGATGATGTCAAGTTCAGATAAGGCCTTTTAGGTTATTGGCCCACTGATGAGCGCTTAAGGGGCTGGGTTTAGATAATTTATGCATTAGCTTGAAAGTCTTGGGAGAAAATATACACACAAATAGTTTCACACTAAAAAGAATAAGAGAGATGGCAAAGTGTATGAGTTCAAACAAAAAAGGAACACGTTACTTCCCATATTTTCTGTCTGTACGTGTATGTGTGGTGTGTAGTGAGAGTGTGTGATTTTTTTCTAACTTCCTTTAATTTTTCTTTTCTATTATTTTTATTATTTTATTATTTTCTTTTTTTATATAAATATTATATAATAAAATATTTTTGAATCCCACAAAATGTTGTACGCATCATGCATGTTTTTGTTCTTTTCCAATTACCCTTAAACCTTGATGTAAACACATCAAGTGTGTATGACAGCATTTAAGTGTAAAAGGCAAAAAAAAAAAAAAAAAGAAGTGAGAATGAAAAAGAGAAATGAGTGAGAAGAGATTGACAGAATATTTGAAATTATTTTATGGTCAAGTGATGTTGTGATTTTTCTCAGCTTTTTTGTGAGCCTTCCTCTGAGTAACTACATTGTAGGTCATTTGCTCGTCTAATTCCAGTAACTGTGTGGGTGGTCTGGAAAACTCTTAATACAGAAAGGTGAGAGCAAACTGAAACTGATCTAGTGAGGGGACCAATTAACTTAAGGCCGTGCTACAAATATCTTTAAAATGTTCATAGATTAGTCAGATGGACAGGATTCACTCAACAGTCTAAATAGATTCATCAAAAAACAAAAAACAAAAAAAAAAACAATGGCGGCACCCCAGTGAAAAGACGCACAAAACTGTGTTCATGAGAAAGATATATCAAACTCTTAAATAAAAATAGACATTCTGTGAGGCCCTACTGCATTAGTCACTAGGAAAGATTAAAAAACTAGGGAGATTCCTAGGGTGCTCAGTTGGTAACCGTGGTTTTGTTAGCTAGCTGGATCATTTCGACATGAGACAGACAAAGGTTACAACGTAAGTGTCTTGGGATAATTTTCTCACACTTCAAAAGAGGAAAGCTAAAATGCATTTGGATGACCATTACTGCTAGGGCTTTATGAATGGCATTTGAAAACAAACTGAAAGATGAACAAGGGCAAACACGAAAGTCAAAATGATTGTGTTGACGTCGACAAAATAAGAGAAAACAATCAGCTTAGTACCTATTACGTCTGTGGATAAAACTGAAATCAAAAATTCATGTTTTGTTTTTAATTATGCATGCAATTTAATATTACTTAAAGTATGAAACAACATGTTATGTATGCTTTATATTACTGTAACATCAATTGTGAATGGTTATGTATGATTGTGAATAGGTTATGTGTCTAATTTACTGTAGTTTCTTTTGTTTTCAAATGAAATACTGATGGGCTTACTCTAAAATGTGTGCTTAAATTTATTTTTTTTAAGTTTCAGAATATTCATCATGTTTTATATATATATATATATTTTATAATTTAAAGTTTTTATACAGCTGTGGTTTGCAGTTATGTCTGTTGACAAAGCAGTAATTTTATTTAATTAAAAACATTAAAAGGTAATCCACAGTTTAAACTAGTCTATGTTTTATGTAAATATTTTTAAATTATGCTAATTATTTCTGGATCGGTATTGTTGCACACTCAAATTCTTTAATTACTCTTCTAACAATTCGGGCCTGATGTGAATAAAACTGATCTGAAGAACAATAAACCTCTTTCAGTGTCGGTTTTCAAACCATAGTCTGATTTCTGTTCTTTTAGATCGATCATTGTGTTGCAGTAAATACTTTAACACGATTTAGATGAAGACACAACTTCGACAGCAAACGACACCAAAGTGTGAGGATTTTTCATGTGGGCATGCAAGTTACTTCATTACCATAACAAAAGGAATTATTCTCACGCAAACAGACGAATGTTAAAGGTTTTGTTTGGGTGTTGCAATGGGACACTTTTGTAGGTTTTGAGGATCTTTTATTTTAGTGCTTTGTGAGAAGCACAAATACATTCACAAGTCTAATCAACCGTTACAAGTTATAATGAATAATTTATTTTAAACCGGGTTAAAAAAAATGTAAATATATATATAGCCTACATAAGCTAGCTAAATTAAAAAACGCAACATAAAACACTCTTACACAAAAATAAGGCCAGCATGTGTACAGTTCCTAATTAAGTAAACTGCATCGCTAAAACATGTCCATAAATGCTAAATTGATTGTAAGGAGTTTAACAGAAATTGTTATTTAAACATGTAGAGCATTACGACTGCATAATTTAAGTGGGGAAAGTGTTTTGTTAAATTACGCACACTGTGCATTTGACACGAATTTGCACACATTTGTAGCTCTCATCTAGACACTTTTGGATAAACTCACATTTAGAGGTTTATGATGTACTCTTAAAAAATAAAGGTTCAAATATAATTTTACAATACCGTCACAGGAGAATCGCCATAATAACTTTTTATTCTGTTTTTTAGAGAACACTACTTTGTAAAGGATTACAGAAGACTAACTTTTTTATATCTCTAAAAAACAATTTACTGTTAAAATAGCTCTCTTGAATAGAATAACCATCAGAGAAGCGTTATTTCTAGTGGTGTAAAAGTTTGTCTGGAGTTCTTGTCTCCCTGAACTAAACACGCCGCACGATATGCTTGAATCAAGTTGTTTTTGGTCTCAGATTATGTTCGAAATGTCCATATGCTATACCGTGTTTTCAACAGCACTCGAAATAAGCAATAAAACATCGCCAAATTCTGACAAAACAATCTTGCACTTAAAGAGCACTGTAAAAGACTTGTATTACAATTCACGTACCGTTATCCGGACTTTTGTCCGACTGTGTTCCTTCTTCGTCCGATCGGAGATGCTGAGGTTTCGCCTGCTTTCTTCGGGACATGTCTCTGCGCTTCGCGTCGGCGCTCCGATCTGCAGAAACATCGGACGCAGGCAGTCCCGTACAGTCCCAGGGTCAGTGAATAAGAGATATTAGATGTTGTTACCGTTGTGCAGATTGCGCATGTCGGCGTTATAATGATAGAGGGTCATGTATTACGTTGCGCTGCATGAGGGATTGGCCGCGCGCCAGTAGACACTCTCTCTGGATATGGAAATGAGGGATGGACTGAGTAATTAGCCCGTTTCACTTCCTCACTTTTCCCCCTTTTGCTCTCTGTTCACGTAGGACCACAAACTGGACGCAAACAAGTGCGTCTACAGCTCTGGTGGCACTTCACACGGCGTAAAGTCCATCCGTAGTTTGTTAAACATCACCGTAAGTACGGAAAACCAGTCTTGTCACGCTCGCACGCCTTCTTTTCAAATAAATGACAGTGTGAATAACATTCAAGCACCTCTCAAACAGGCTCTTTACAAGTGTATTGATCTACTTTAAGCATATGCCTCCAGTTTAACCATAGCCCTCCCGCAAACGATGTCGCCTTTACGTTTATGAACAATTGTTTATGTGAATGACGAGTTGTTTTAGCCTATATAAAAGATTCGTCTAATTAAAGATTAGCCCCTAGAGGACCTCGAGATTAAATATTGATGGGCTTTAAATGTAGCATATTATCACAATTTTTCTTTTATCAAAAAAGTTAGATTACAAGTTAGAGTGCGCGTTCGCCTGAGGAGGTCACCATAGCAACAGTAAGCAGCTGAACGCTTTCCTTTGGATCTGTACGGGACAGTATGTCGACAAAACAAGAGTAACGCCATCCTTTTTAATACTTTTCTATACCATCAGTATATCACAAAAGTGTTTTAAAACTTGTCAGGTTTTATGTTTATGCATAACGGGTTGAATGTTTCCGTAAACCTACATGTAACAAACCCCGCGCGTGAAATCCTGAAAGTTACCGAGGAAACGTCGAAAACTCATTCTAAAGATTCGTAGAATGTTAATAAGATTGTTGACAACAAACACTGTTCACTCCGTTCGCTCCTCTCATTCCGCATCATCCATTACTATAGCCCAGTTCATCCCATTCATAACTATGCCCGTTCCTGCAGCTATAGTCCCAAAAGGCGAACGTCTTCATACTGTAGGTACCTGAAACGGGCTGATAATTTGCTGCGAATGTGCCTGTAAAACCCAGCTGAAGTCCTGGAGAAACGCAGGAGGGCTGTTCAGTGTAAGCTTATTGCATTACACGACCACTAGGACATCAGTGAATGGACCTGCCTTTTTTTCTGCTCACCTTTTGCATATCTTCACATGTGTTATGAAACTTTTTCATAAGTGACCAATAATCTCTCATTTTGTGATCCATGGTGGAGGAGCAAGTAAACTTCAGTTATGTGTCTATCATGATATTGAGCTGCTCTCATGGGATCAGACAACATTCACATCTGACCAGTATCGCTGGTGTATAGCGGCCAAAGGGCTCTAAATCAGCGATACATCATTTCCATTACAACACAAGTAGAACAATATATAAGCCTATTGATCGGCGTCTCTGTTACTCTTCTGGTGTAGAGAGATAAGCGCAATATAATTTCGTTTGACCTATCTGTATGGCCAAGTGATGGATTGCCAGGGTAACCGAGGGCTTTTATCACAAAACTCTCCCAATGATGTACTATTGATTGTCCTTAACTAGCTTTTCTGGCAAAAATCAAAAGTCCCTTCCTCGCCATCCTCTTCATTATCAATAAAATTACAAAGTGGTGGGAATTGTCAAAATCCACCCCCAAGGGAAGTCTTTAAAACTGCTGCTGTTATCCCAGCCTTTTTCTGTTATCCATGCAGTGTAGGATTAGGAAACAGGCATTTTAAAAAGAAACAAAGTGATCAGATGAAGACGAGCACCTTGAAGGACAAAATATTAACAATTCTGCATATGGAATCCTTAACGTTTCTTCCTACGGGGATTTTATTTGTTTATTTTTGCTTGTGCAGTTTTTTAATTGTCTTTTTGTTTTATTTTCTCCTCATTTCCCATCTGCTTTCATAAAAATAAGACAAGCCGGATTTAAATGAGCTAATCATGACTTTTTCTCCTCTACATCACCTGGTAATCACAGATTATAGCTTTGCATTTTTTATGATGCACGTTTTAAGTTTTAATTGAAAATAATTGCCTGTCTCATTCAGTGCAGAAAAAAACAGCGTGTCAGTTCAAGCTCGCAATTCAAGAATTGTTTTCAACCGTAAAAAAATAGAAAAATTCCATCCAAGTCTGTGTTTACTGAGATTTATCATTTTCTGTCCATTAAAAGAAAGTCATGTTTAGAATCTTTTCATGGTCCATGCTATTTCTCTGTTCCTTTTAGCCCTGACTGCAGCTTTTTAACCAAGAACATATCCCACAGCTAAAAAACATCTTTCCCTACTCTAAACACGATGAAGAGGGTTTGACTCCGAGTATAAAGCACATCATCACAGATAGATCAACAAATGAAGTGTCAGGGCGAAACTACATGAAGAACAAACAAAGCAGAGACGGGGCAGTGAGATGGACAGATGTGAGATAGCACTGTTCTATGTGCCGAGGGCCTCTGGAAATTTCTGATTGGTTTAATTTACCACATCTAACGCGGCTGCTTCTCAAGTCTGCGACTTTTATCTAATGCTGTGAACCTCTATTGATTTCTCTTCTCTATCTTTAATGCAGGACTGGAGCAAAGAGAGCAAAAAAAGCACTTGCTAAATGGAGGACTACTTTGAGATGGCTGCTATTCTCCGGCTTATTGCCTCCTGTCGGCCATGGTTTCACATGAGGTCCGGGGTGTCAGGTCCGCTTCCACCAATAAAGGCTGTGATTGACATTAGCGGGAGAGACTTGAGCTGGGAAAAGAAACTGAATCTCAATGTATGAGGGGTGAGTCAGGGTCTATTGTGAGGCCAGGTGGACCTGATACATCTAAGGCGAAATAAACGTTTTCAGCCGTGAGATACGGGGTCCCTTGACGGTACCGTGATACAGTATTGTATCTGACTGTATCTAACTTGTGCTTTCCCCTAGAGTGACCAGATGTTCCTGTTTTGCTGGGACAGTCCCATTTTATTGGTATATTATATTTAAAAAATAATAACAATTAAACATAATGTAAATTTTTTTTAAAAGTGAGATTTAATGCTATTTTGACCACTAAACTAGAAAATGTCCCCGTTTTGCATCTGAGAAAATCAAACACACTCAAGAAATAAAGCTACTTATGTTTTTCATTGGGCTGTACCTTTTCATAAGGTATACATTTGAAACTAAACAAATGTTTTTTAAAATCTCAAAGGTATATTCGCAAAAAAAAAAAAAAAAAAAGAGATACACCTTTTTTATATTTTAGGTACTAATATGTACCACTGAGGAACCAATATAGACCTGTACATGTTCCTTTTAATTACATTTTTTATAATTTGTTTTCAGTTTTTAATCTTAGTAACAAACATACAACCAAAAAAAAATTATTTAGCATAAACCTTAGAAGGATCATAGAGTTGGACTTGAATTATATATTTGTAAAAAAAAAAAAAAAAAAACGATATAAATCAATATTTGCACTGCTTATTTTTATTTTATTTTGTTTTACATTTAAGACAATTAAACATTTTCAGACATTAGAGACACAATCTCACAGCTCATGTTCCTTTGTTTTTTTGTTTTTTTTTGTAAACAGAGCAGTCAAACCTAGAAAAAGTATATATCATAAACCTCAAGAGGATCATTGGGTTACACTTGAGTTGTATATTTCTCAAAAAATCAAGAAATTGACCCCAGTTAGCCAAATTCTCTTATGGTGCTAGTCCTTCTCAATTTGAATAACAGAGATCATGTTCAAAATCCAATTCTGCCATGAAGGGGTGTTCTTTTATCACTTACAGTGTATATATTTAACAAAATACTATAGAAATCAGTATTTGTGTTTTTTTTTTTTAGTTTTTTTTTGCAATGTCTCTTGATATCAACCACATGGAAGGATTTCACCCCCATACTTATGGTCATTTACAAACACTTCTGCAGAAGTGCTTCGCTGAATACGTACACAAAGTTTTTTGCTTTCTAAACAACCGTGCAAAGAAGATGTTGCAGTTCTGTTAACACAAGTCGTCATGACAACAGACTATTTTTATGAAAGACAGCAAATTTTAGGCACAAACAGGATATTATGTATTCTATGTTCTCCAGGGAATAACGAGCAAAAACAAGAGTAAAGCCAGTAAAAACAGTAGTTAATTACTGGCTGCAAGTGTGTGCAGCCTGAGATGGCAGAGGGAAGACTTCAGGCGCAAAGTAATTTACTTACATTTATGACCTGAAAAAGAACAGACCCTGCTATTAGCATTTATTGGCATGCTATAGAGGAAAAGCATGTAACGAATGAGTTTAATCTCCATCAGCTCTGATTCTTTGAACGCTTCACAGGAAGTATCTTCTGACATAGGATCCGAAATCTAATCCAAAGGTAAAACTAATGCTGGACATGTCTGTTAGGTGATTTAGAATTATGCAGGACATATTTTAGACAAATGTAATATCTGTACGTTAGTTAGTAGATCAATTTTTAATAATGCAACGTACACTAAGGGTTCTTAGGGGAATATGTTGGGAAGGGCATATATCTTCTTATTGTTAATACTGAAGTTGAAAGCTTCTTTACCTTAGAGTGCACATATTAAATGTTTAGGAGCTGATGACATATAAGGATGTGTGAGATAATAAATCTTTTAAAATTATTTTTTTTAATGATTGTTATTAAGGTCTACAGGTCTTTTTTTTGTGATGTAGTTTCCTGGTTTGTTGCTTTCTTGTTGTCATGTGACAAAAAAGTCTTCCTGGATATTGGTAAAAATTCCGCTGATTTTGACAGTAAAGAAGTATTTTAAATATGACACTTTAGCACAAAACACCTAACTGCTTTTAAAAATTATTATACTATTAAAAAAAAATCATATTT